TCCCTTTCTTCCTCCCACAGTTATTGAACACCTGCTTTGTGTCGTGCACGGTACTTGGCCCTGGAGCTCAGAGATGCCTGCTCGCGTGACATCTATAACCTAGTAGACGAGACTGACAAGCAAATCAAAGGCAAAAGGCCTTGTGTTCAGAGTTATATGGTGGGTTCTGTGGGCAGGTCAGCAAGATCAGGAAGGTATTTTCTGGGGTCATGTCACTGAACTCACTTTGGAGGACAGGTAGGAGTTAACTAAGGGAGGTCGGCATGACCCAGAAAAAGGACTAAAACAAAGGTCAGGTAATGAGACCAGCTTGGGGTTGCCCTGCGTGTCTGGGTTGAGTGGAAAAGGCAGATCCGCCGAGAACGTTCTGTCCCGGGGCGGTCACCATGGACCCTACCCAAAACATTGTTACATAAAGATTCCAAAATCCGCAAATCACCTGACAGATTTCATCCCGTACTCTCAGGTGAGTGCCGAAAATGTCAGCGTTGTGATAAAATAAAAGCCAATTTCATCGGTTTGATCTTTATTGAAGCCGGTAGAAATGATTTATTGATTGTTAAAGCAAAACACTTTTTTAAAAGCCATTTTTTTTGCAAGCAACTTGTTCATAGCTGTGGAGCTCTGCTATGCCCCAGACACGCATCCAGTTACAAAATGTTAACAGTTTTGAGGGAAATCAATAGAATAATCAGAAATTTCATGAAAAGATGTACAAAGAGCGAAATAATTTCATGTCATGTAGTCAGTGTTATTATTTTGTGAATGCTTAAATTTGCAACTTGCTTCACTTGGGTCCAGATGTTTCTTAATGTTTTTGCCATGAAAACAAACTAAGATGCCGGAGTAAAGAGCTCACTCTGAACACGCTGAGATGGTGCAGAAACTCAAAGCCAGGACCCCAGTGTGAAGGCTCTTGGCACTTTTTGTGGATCCTATGTGAGGACGCGGTTGTTACGTCGGTCGGCGTGCTCACGCGCGCAGCCAGGCGGACGTCCATTTGGGGTTGGAGGCGTGGAGCAGGTCTGTTCCTCCCCACAGTCTCCCCTCTTTGGTCAAGACAAGAAGAAAGGGCCGCTTGCCTTTCTCTTTGCGACTCGGTTATCAGGAAGCTCCTAGAGGCAGCTCTTGGTCCAAGTTTATTTCCATTCCATTGGCCACCTCTTGGTTTCACTTGACGGTTTGAAAGAAAATCCTAGAGCATCTGTGTTTTTCACGGAAATGGCTTAAAGTCCTCCGTGGAAGTAGTGAGATTAAAAGCAATAATATCAACGAGCTGTAGTTTCTCGCAGGCCTGTAAAAGGAATCAAATGTGAACACTGGATTTCCAAGTTGTCACTGTAGAAAGAGGCAACTTTCTAGTGCCTGTGACCTTCACACTGGGTGGGACAGATGAACTGTTCAGAGGAATGTGTGTGTGTGTGTGGTGATGTTATAAATTATTGTTACTATAAAATATCGTTATTAAATTATATAGTAATATATAGCATTAGATATACAGGGTTGTGCAAAAGTAGGTTTACAGCTGCATTGTGGCATTTTTCCCATTAATGAAGCTATTGCAATAATCATATCCTGCAGGTCTCTCCCATACGAACACCTGTACCTACTTTTGCACCGCCCCTCGTATTATTATTTATGCAATAACCCACAATTGGCAAGTCATCTCAAAGTGCTGTGACACGTGCCACCCGTCCGGGGTGTAGAAGCAGAGAAGCTATCCACAACGCCCCCCGACTACCTGAGAACCCTTCCTCCTGGACCCGTGTTAAGTTTCTCTTAGTGTCTGGAATTCATTACTGGTTATTGATATTAAAGGGTTGAGATCAGCCCCGACTGGTGTGGCTCAGAGGGTTGAGCATTACCCTTCAAGCCAAAAGGTTGCCGGTTTGGTTCCTGTTCAGGACACGTGCCCGGGTTGTGGGCCAGGTCCCTGGTTGGGGGTGGGCGACGGGCAGCCGATTGCTGTTTCTCTTTCTCCCTTCTTCCCCCCCTCTAAATAAATTAAATAAACATGGTATTTCTTTAAAGAAGCGTTAAGATGGTCAGGAGTCACTGACTCTAAGTAAAGATTAGATATGCTAGATACACTGGCTTAGCCAAACGAAAACTTGTGTTCTAGCTCCCTTTAGGTCGCCGTGCTTTTTACAGAAGAGACATTCTTGAGGGTCGAGGCCTGTGCACGGTGAAGGGAATTTTGTATGAACCTGACAGAATGGAACCACAAAAAGAGCAGTGACCGAGGGTCTAGAACCAGTGGGCACTGCCGTGTGTGGTGGCTTCTCTGGGCCTCGTTTCTTCATTAGAAAAGGAGGGGAAGAACCCAGAGATTTTTAGTGAGTAATAACAATTGAACCAAAACACAGATTTCTTGGTTGAAATTCAGCTGAACTGAGGGCCCAATGGTACCCCCCAGGCAGGTAGCAATGTGTGATGCACAGTCTCCTGTCAGCACAGTGACCTTGAAGTGAGGACCGTCATCTTCCTGCTATTGACCGATCTCTGGTGGGGACACCTCATGGGGACACAGCAAAAGGACATGTGTTTATGACACTGCTTATTCTAAGTGGGCATTCTGAATGGTTCCTTTTTTTCCTTCGAGAAGTGAGGGTGGACCTGGGAGGAATCGTCATCCATCTGCACTCTGACCTTGTCCTCATAGGGTTTGTGAGCTTGATGCCCAGGATGCCCGTGTCTTGGGGGGCAGAGCTCCTCCCGGTGCCTGGGCCACGTGGTGAAGATCGCGGGCTCTGAGGTGGGAGTCAGTCTGTTCCCGAGTCCGTCCTATTCATATCCTGTGTGACCTTGGGCAAGGTGTTATGTTTTTTGATTTTTTTTAACCTCTGTGCCTTAGCCTTTTCAAATGTAAAATGGCAAACGTGTTTAAAATAGTTTAACTGTCCCTCTTAGAGTTGAAAGTGTGGAGCATTTAGAACAAATGTCTGATGCATAGTTAAACCCCGTCCTGGGCGACTGTCCTTGTTTTATTCCTGCATAACATCAGGAAAGAACCTATGACTGCATCTTGTCCTGGCCTTATGGTGGCCCTTGGGGATGGTGAGCGGAAGGGGCTCCTGACTGCACCCCCTCCGGGGGGCGGGGAAGACAGTGCTGGTGCCACTGAAGCCGGTTCTGGGCTGGATGTGTGCGCTGCTCCTATAGCTCTCCAGGGAATAAAACTACATCCCGCTTCCACTAGCCTCAATCAGCATCTGACAACTTTTCTCACTCGGGGAGTTTTTCTTCCTCTGCCTTAATTACCAGCTGATGCAGGTTCGGTTTCGGGGAGAGGACAGGACATGGGTCTGACTCCGAGACACAGCACTGCCTACAGCTGTCCTGTAGACTCACCCGGGGCTCCAGGGTGGCCCCTTCCAGGGCCCCAGGGGCTCTGTATGCTCATCTGCAGGGACGGGGCGGTGGGTGGCAGGGGAGGCGGCGGTCAGCCAGGGCGCGGAACGTGTGGCTGTGGACGCTCACTCAGCGGTAACCAAGCAGCTTCACACCTGTGCTTCCTCTGTACCTGCACCAGAGGTGTCACCAGGAGAAAGAGTTTCACAGATAACAGAGGAATTTGAAACCTGGAGGCCAGTGTGTGTCCCCTACAAGCCACTGGACATGACCTGTCCCTTCCAGCTGACTCTGTTGCCGCTTGTCTCAGCTCCACGGTGCTGCCTGTTTGAAAGTGGCAACATCTTGTGTGTGTGTGTGTGTGTGTGTGTGCATGCATGCAGGTGTGGTCCTTTGCTCACACTGACGGTAGGAGAGGGAGGGTAAATGAAAGGATTTATGAGGAGAGAAACTTTATAAACCAAGACATAATTATTATGAGACGTGGAAGAATCCCCTGTAATGAGTTTGGGGGATAATCTCGACACGGCCCTGTGTGGGGTTTTCATCTCCAGCCTATGTGACCAGGAGGCGCTGACGGAAACTCAGGGCTGGGAAACAGCTGTCTGGCACCCCCCCACCTGATGGAACAGGTCGGGAGGGGTATGGAGCAAAACAAAGGGATTGGGGGTGGGTTGTGCACAGGAAGACTGATGTCCGCTGAGCGGCCATAGGCTTGCCAGACCCTCCCTGCCAGCCCCGACCTGGGTGGGTGTCCCGGGGAGGTGTTCAGTCGCAGCGAGTGTTGCGTCCTCCCCTCGGACACAGGGAGTGGTATCCTGGCCTTCATGTAGTGGCCGCAGAGGATGGCCGTGAAGCATGGGGAGGGTCAGGAGAAAACTCTCCCACCGGCCTGACCCCAGGACGTGGGTCTCAGTCTCTTGCCCGGAGAGGAGGCCAGAACAGGAGCATCACGCAGGACGGGGTGAGTGGGGGGAAGGCTGTCTCCCCTGGCAGTGTGTCCCAAACTCATGTCCGATGGCGCGATGCCCTCACACACTTGGAGGTAAATGCCTCTCTGGATGGGCCCATGGTTTTCTCAGCTGGGGCGGGGACTTGGATGGAGATGTCTAAGGTTATGCTGAGTCAGCCTAGATTCTGTGGGACACACTCTCCTGAGCACTTCACACAGGAACCTAACTTGGTCCTGGCCACCACCCTGCCAGGGTAATTGTATCTCCTCTCCATCAGATGGAGCAGGAAGCTGAGATTTCGAGTTTAGAGGACTCGTGCTCATTGGTGGAGCCAGAGTTAAAAACCTGTACGTGATTGACCTAAAGATGTGAGAGAAGAAGAAACCAGAGCCCCACCCCCCACCGCTAAAAATTGGCTTGGAAGTAGCTTTATGGAGCAGATATGCCTTAACAAACTAACCCTCTTCCTTATTTCTGCAGCTGAAATACACGCGCGCACACAAAATCACAAAGCCTTCTTTATTCAGACTGTCTGCTAAGCCGGAAGCACCTGCAGACCACTGAGATGATGCACCGGTCATCCCAGTTCCATTTTTCTTTCACCTGAAGCATGGCTCACAGTGGACTGCCCCTTGGCTTGCCGAGTGATGCCCGCTCACTGTGCTTTCGCCCTCATCTGCCGTCCTCTCTTCCCAGGGTGGCATGATCGCGCTGCTGCTGTCCATCTTGTGCCTGGTGATGATCCTGTACACCCGCCGCCGCTGGTGTAAACGCCGCCGGGTGCCCCAGCCCCAGAAGAGCGCCAGCGCCGAGGCGGCCAACGAGATCCATTACATCCCCTCGGTGCTGATCGGTGGGCATGGGCGGGAGAGCCTGCGCAATGCCCGCGTGCAGGGCCACAACTCCAGTGGCACCCTGAGCATCCGGGAGACACCCATCCTGGACGGCTATGAGTACGACATCACCGACCTGCGCCACCACCTGCAGCGCGAGTGCATGAACGGAGGGGAGGACTTCGCCAGCCAGGTCACCCGCACCCTGGACTCGCTGCAGGGCTGCAACGAGAAGGCAGGCATGGACCTCACACCAGGTGGGCAACTTGGTTCCTGTCCCTTGTTGCGGGGAGCTAGGGAACTGGTAGGGAAGAGCTGTGTCAAATTTTGTGGCTGCCAGTCATGCATACTGGGATGTGCCGGTGCCCTTTCCCAGGTGGGCAAGAAGTGTAAGCTTCTTCCTGAGAGGATGAGAGCTGTTTTCCGGCATGGGACACCAGCAGGAGAGCTGTAATTGGGGTTCCTCTCCACTTCCACTTTGCACGAGTAGCAGAGACACTTTTACACCCAACCCACGAGTGGATTGGAGCCTTCTTTGTACATAGTGAGCCCTCCTCTGGGAAATAAAAAGATTCTGCTTGTTATCAGAAAGAGGGCCTGTGTGAGTGGCCGCTTCCTACTAAGATTAAAGCCTGGGAACTCCTTGAGAATAGGGGGCATGTCATCAGTGTCTCAGGTTCCCCGTAGCACCTGGCACAGTGCTGAGCCTACCAAGGAGCCAGGTGATACTTGGGGGTTACAGAGTCAGGTGCATTCAGAGAGCAGGCAGATGGCTCAGACATGGGAACGAGCTGGACGTCAGGTGACAGGGACTGGTGCAGGCTGGGGCAGGCAGCCGGCCTGTCCTGTCCGGAGGCACTCAAATTCACACTCTCGTGAGACTCCTGGCCGACCAAAAGGATGCCCTGTGCTGCCTGTGTCTAGTCAAAGGGCCGCATGTGGTGACCCTCTCAACACAGTTGGTTGACTCGGCTTTTCAGTTAGAATCTCTCTTACTTCGCTCCTCTCATCACTCCGCGGTCCCCCAGAAATCCAAGCATTTCTCTCTCTGCCAAGCCCTCACTTTAAAGGTTCCTTATTTTAATTCTGTGAAAACTCCGTGTACTTGGTTTATGCAGATTCCTTTGCTCTCACTCTCTTTGACCTTTTAAAGTTCTTGCCCTGACTTTTCCTTATACAGGCAGTGACAATGCCAAGCTGTCACTGATGAACAAGTACAAAGATAACATCATCGCCACCAGCCCCGTGGACTCCAACCACCAGCAGGCCACTCTGCTGTCCCATACGTCCAGTAGCCAGAGGAAGCGGATCAACAACAAAGCCAGAGGTACCCGGGTCTGAGGTTGGGGCGTGCAGGGGGACTCCTGAGTACCCGCACAGGCAGGGCCCCTTCATGTCCTTGACCCCCACTCTCATGCATGTCTGGAGGGGATGCGTTTTTGTACAGTCTCTCTGGAGGCCTGTTGAGTACAACTTATCAGAAAAACTCAAATCTGCAAACCCGATGACAGTAATTTCATCAGCAAGGATGTATCCTTAGGAAATAACTGGACAAATAAGCAAAGATGGGTGTAAAAGGCTCTTCGTCACATTGTCTAAAGAGAGAAAAACGGGGAAGAGCTTCATTGTCTGTCAAGGGGGAACCTGCTGAACTGCCCGCACTTGGGTCTCCGGTCCAGGGGCTGACCACGAAGCCACGCACGATGGTAATACAGATCTGTACTTGTTAATGTGGAAAGTTGCTACCCATCTATTATGTGAAAAAAGGAGGTTATAAGATAGAAGGTGCAGCAGAATGCCATGGTTAAGGGGAGACTGAAGAATGTTTATCTGGCTTTGTGTCAAAAGAAGGCAGAGAGTATATACCTCACATGTTAACAGTTTTGCTCTGATGGTATGGATTCAGAAGACATCAGAGTTGGCCCCTTATACGTTTTTCTTTACTTGTATTTATTATTCTCTCTCTTTTTCACATTTAACAATACATGTTCATTCTGGGGCCAGAAAAAATATAAGATCCTATAGATAATAAGGCATAAGAGCCTATGTCCCTTAAGACGTAATTCCGGTCTGATAGGAACCAGAATCATGACCTGTAATGAGGACCATTTCTCTTTCTTCCTTCTCCACCCACCATCCCTGTCCAGCAGGTAGCTGTCAGGAATGGCCCTCCTTGGTAGGGGCGTGCTGGGGGAAGGGAGGGCTCCGTGACTACTGTCTACTTCTCCAGTAAATCCGTGTCTCGGAAGCTCCAATCCCCATGGCCGGCTACTCCTTCCAGATTGTCAGCCAGCCTGCTCTTATTTTCATCGATTCTTCTCTTGAACTTGCCCAAAGATTTAGTTTCGTGAGGACAAGACTAAAGATGTTGTCTTTGCCACGGTCCTGTTCCTTTCAGCTGGTTCCGCCTTCCTGAACCCTGAAGGGGATTCCGGCACAGAGACAGAAAACGACCCGCAGCTGACCTTCTACACCGACCCCTCGCGGAGCCGGAGGCGCAGTAGAGGTAGGGAGGGTGGGAGGGACGAATGCGGGGCGGGGTGGGGGGGTGGGCGAGGAGCTCTGGGACAGGGAGGCCAGGGAGCTGCAGGGAGGCCTGGGGTCGGGCTGTGGGGTCTGCACACCAAAGCCTGTTCCCGTGGGAAGGGTTCCTGGACCACCGTTGGTTTTCTGCCCCAGAAGAGAGAAGAGCCTGGAGTGGACCGTTTCAGAGACCCATCTCTCCCAGATAATGGCTCTCTCAAACAGTCTTCCAAGTTGTTTAAAAGGCTATTTCTTGGTCAGAAGACTCTCAATTCCTTCCGGAAGCCTCGGGAGTCCTATTCTGCTGTTTAGAGACAGAAAGTAAAGTTGACGAAGTGTGTTATGTGGGGGAAATGTCAGGGTATGGACCCATGCTTACCCAGCCACACTGGCCTCGGGATCCGGCCAGGCAGGGATGAGGGTGGGCGGGGCAACCGAGGAGTCCTCCGTGGCCGAAATGGGCCTGGAATGGCACTTGCCCTTTAACCCCCTCCCTGTAGAATCACCGCAGCCCACACTCCCAGCCCCCTCCCCTCTCCCAGCAGCTTCCCAGTTAGCTCGTTCCTTCTGCTCAGCACCAGCAGCGCCGCCCTCCAGGCACCCACTGCCACTGCCCCTCCGCCCTGGGGTTTAGAGGCTTCGGGTGTGGCTCTGCCTCTAGTGGCCGCTACTTCCTGTGACTGGCTGGTATCACCATCCCCACTGAGGGAGGCCTGCCTGGGCTCAAGCACCAATCAGCTTCCCCATTTACTGATATTAGATAAGGCCATCAACCTCTGGGAACCTCAGCATCCTCACGTAGCAAATGGATTAACAGTACCTCACACATAGGGCTATGGTTCAGATGAAGTTATGTTAACAGGGACTTTTTTTGGTGGCTGGCAAAGGACTGTGAAATCCCCATTGTTGTCACGATTAGAGGTCTCCACAGTGCAGCCTTGGGTTCCCATAACATTTCATCTTCAAAAATCAGACAGGGGCCCCTGGAGACACAATGGAGAATATTTGAGTGACGTCACATTGTACAGGGTGCAGGGCCCAAATAACACCCCTCTTCTGTTACAAAGTCCTTCATTACAAAATCATGAGCATCTCTTTCTGAAACATAACAATAGCACACTCAAGCACACCATATGACATTTTAGGTGACATGTTCCAATGAAAACTATAAATTATTACACCCATATTGTTAAGCTATCAACCACACCCAAGCAGGCATCACTTCTGCCAGACTCTATTATGTTCAGTAGGATTTCCCCCAACTGATAACCAGCCAATGCCCCCAAAAGACAAGGGCATTTTGGCTACATTGTCCCCGAGTTCCTCTATACTGAGGGTACTCTTCCAAGAGACTGGAAGAATCCCTTTTAACCCCCCAATCCCAGTTTCTGTAGGCTTGGCAGCAATCAGCAGAAAACGTCTTCCTGCCCTTTTCCTCAAACACTCAGTGGGGCTCTGGGCAGCTTAATGCCTGATGCCCCGTATCCCTGGGGCGTGAATGTGGACCCTCTGCTCCCCACTGTGTGTTTATATACAGCAAATAGTCAACCCAGATCCATCAGCCCAGGCCGTACCAAAGCAGGGCACATTCTGCTTTAATAGAAACCTGTTTAAGAAAACCCATCGTAATGAATTAGAGGGAGTTTCTTTGCAGCATAAAAACTATTTGAAATACCAAGGTCTCCTAGTACATCAACTGTTTATTGCTATTAACTATACGGTAAGCTTCATAGGGATGGACATGTCTAATTTATTTTTCTAAAGTGAGTAATGGAGAATTTTGCCTATAATAGATGCTTGTGAGTGTTTGGGGAATTGAACTGGATACATCTGCCAGCAAGAAATTTTATAACCTACCTGCCACGGGTCAGGCTTTGTGATAAGTCGTGGAAGCATGAAAACACGGGACAATGATGAGTCTTAGTTTAATAATATAAATAAGGTAAAATGAATACTTAGAAGTGAGAAGAGTTCATTCTACCTGGTAGCACTTGGAGGCCAAAAAAAAGAAAAGAAAAGGAGAAAATAATTGCACCGAGGTTATATACAATATAAAGAATTTATTGAAAGCAGAGAATGTAAGGTAGGGGTGTTCCAGTGGAAGAAAATAGCATAGCAAAAGCCTTAAAGGGCCCTGACCAGTGTGGCTCAGTTGGTTGAGCACCATCCCACAGAGCAAGCGGTCACCAGTTCACTTCCTAGCAGGGGCTCATGCCTGGGTTGCAGGTTCGGTCCCTAGTTGGGACATGTACAAAGTGGCAACCAATTGATGTTTCTCTCCACAGTGACATTTCTTTCTCTCTTTTCCTCCCTTCCTTCCCCTCTCTTTAAAAATAAATGTAAAAAGTGAAATCTTTTAGAAAAAGCTTTAAAGGCACGAAAGAACCGATATTTTCAAGGAAGCGAAAGTACTTCAGTGTGGCAGCTGTAACGGCTCTGTAGTTGGGACGGCTGGAAAACAGTCCAGCTGACAAGGACCAGAAACCTGCCTCGTTACTGAGTCTGCACTTGGTTCTAGAGATCGTAGGGAACGGCTGGAGTTTCGAATCCAGGGAGACATGCTGGATAGTGGGTTGCTGAAGTGGAAGAACTAGGGAGACGAGAAGATGAATAGCAAGTGACTGCAGTGACAGGGGAGCCGTGGCAAGTGCCTGTACACCGCAGTCATGCCGTGTGACAGGAGCAGTGACAGCAGAGTGCACCGAGGGCTAGAGGAGCAGCGAGGAAGGAGTGAGGATTTGTTCTTAAAGGTTCTAGGGAGTGTTTACAGGGAGCTGTCGTTCGAGCTGAGACCTGAAGAGGAAGTGTACGCCAGGCTGACAAGGTAGCAGAATGGCGTGCCGTGGAGGAGGAGACAACATGTGCCAAGGGACAGCCACACAAACCAGAGCGGCCTCGCCAGAGAGCAGGAACTAGCTGACTAGAATGAGGCTTATGATGCGGGTCTGTGGTTTGCTCGGGAAAGAAGGCTGGAAGGGAAGGAGAAAGCACATGGCCTTGACCGCAGGACGTGGACCTGACACTTCAGTCGGAGTCATTGAAGGCTTTAAACACCTGTGCCCTGGTCCCCTGTGCTTGGTGAAAGTCTCTCTGGGGCAGTGTGGAGGGTAGGTGTTGGGGGGAGGTTGAGGCAGGGACACCATCCCAGTGGACGGCTATCGCCATCATCCAGGAATGGAGACAAGGGAAAGTCTGGATGCAAAATGAAAAAAGATTTATTGGCACCGGCGGCCAGGAGGTTGGGGAGGGAGGCGCTGGACATGAAGGAACATTGGTGCTCAAGGAACCATGTAGATGACTTTGGCTGAGCAGCGGCAGCAGGATTGGGAGCAGGTTGTGCAGGAAGGTGGGGAGTCCAGTTTGGGATTTTTGCATTTGAGCACCTGAGGGACGTCCTGGTGGTGGCTCTGCTGCTCAGGGCTGGGCTGGAACCAAGATTGTGAGTGTGGGGAAACAGACTCGTGCTCAGAGGACAGGGGCCTGAGAAGCCTCTCTCCGGGTAGCCAGGGACAGAGGACCCAGGGCCTGCCCACCACCTCGGAGTCTCTGCCCCCCAGCCTCTGCCAACCCATCCATTCAGGGAACTTGCTGCCAGAAGGGGTGGTGCATCCATGGGCCCAAAATCATCCCCGCATTTCCAAAGACTTCCTGGGCCCAAAGGTTGCACTGTCGTCCCGGCTGGAGCCTCAGCTGGACCTGGGCTTCGATCTCGGTCCCACTTCTTAGTGGCCTCTCGACCCCAGACCTGCCCTGTGGCCTCTCTAAGTGCCTGTCACTTCGAGGATGTGGCCTCATGAGACTGTGGTCACTGTGAAATGACAGGAGCCACAAGGCCCCGGGCCCTGGTGCCCGGCCCATAATTAGACTTTGTCACTGGTGACCGTCACCAGGAGGCTCACGTCTTTGAGGCCTGTTTCCCTGACGCGTGGAGGGGGCAGTGACTGCGCAGACTGTAGGCTCACGGTGAGGAGGTGAGGACTCAAAATGTCAGAGTGTGCACAACACTGGCACTCGGTGAGGCAGGATAGGTGCCTTTTCTTGATGCCGACAGTGAACAGGAACACAGACTGCAAGGGAAATTCCGAAGGACCCACGCGTTTTGTTGTTGATTTCTTCCTTTCCCACCTCTGTTCTGCCTTTATGTAATATTACCTCCAAACAAACAAAAAAACCCCACAAACAATAAACACACTAAAACCTCCCCATCCCTGACCCCACCCACCTGGAAGTGTTTCTTACTCCCCAGCCCTATTCTGTTCTCAGTAACTTTCACTGATGACTGTACCCCATCAGGTCATATGGGGTAAGAGACCGGGGAGAGCCTTCTGGGGCAACAGCATCCGCTTCTCCTACAGAGTGCACTTTCCTTAGTTCCCTCCTTCCAGGCCATACAGGGCAAGGGCTCCCAGCCAGCCAGCAGGGTCACTCCTCCGGCTCTGCAAATTCCTCAGAAGTGATGGAGCCGATTTGTGAGAGCTCCCTCTGTAGGAAGCTGGGGGAAGTGCAGGGGGCCCAAGCAAAGTCCTGCTGCCCTTGGGCAAGAGGCTGGAGCTCAGCCAGGCATGTCGAGGGGGAGACCGCCCTCCTTTACCATTTCTCTGTGACCCTGGCCCAGGGAGGCTGCAGGTGACTTGCACAACGCTAGCCATTGTTGACCCCGAGGGCCACCAGTAGGCTAAGTCCCCTCTGACTCCAGCTGATGACTTGGTGTTCCATGAGGGCAGATGTCGCTGAGGTCGTGCAGCTGCACAGGTCTGCTGCCTGGGTTTGCCAGCGGCCTGCCTCGTCCGCTGGGTTGGGCTGGGCAGCAAGAGGGCGAGCTGGCTGTCCGCCGCAGGTCCTCACCGCCACGCGTCTGGCCTGTGTCCTCCTTCCAGTGGGCTCTCCCCGCAGTCCCGTCAACAAGACCACCCTGATGCTGATCAGCCTCACCAGCTGTGTCATCGGCCTCGTCTGCTCCTCTCATGTCAGCTGCCCTCTCGTCGTCAAAATCACCCTGCACGTCCCTGAGCACCTGATCGCGGATGGTGAGCCCCCTCCTGACCTGTGCCTGCCTCCCTCCCTGGTGTGGATGGTTTCGGGTTGGGCGACAGGATGTGGAGGAACCCGGGGTCACGGTTGCCTGTTACCGTAGGTGAGGGGAAAGTAAACACAAGACAATAAAGCTGTGGGCGAAACTGGATCGTCCACACATGTAATCAAAAAGCAGGTGAAAAACCCGAACCGATCCCTCATCTCTACGCTTGCTCTCGTTCCCTGTTTTTCCCGTTTGTTTTTCAAGAAGCTCCTGTCTTTGTGGAGAAACACAGAGCATACTGGATACAGGTAGAAAGACGCCGAGAGTTTTGCAGCTTTCGGGGAGGGGGGAACTCAGTGGAGTAGTTGAGGCGTTTAAGAATCATCCCTGACTCAGTTTGGTGTGCCCTGGTGAGAAATTCCTAATTGTAGTAACTTATGATAAGCCTAGAACTCCATAGCAGTAATTTACTTAATCCGGGGAAACCCAATACATGAGGGAGGAACAGAGGTCTGAGAGCCCCTGAATTCATTCAGCCCAAAGCACCTTACTGACCTGCTGTGTCTGTCTCCTTGGTTGCTGGAGATGAGGGGGCACTGTCTCCAGGCCAGCTGTTTCCTGGCAGGTGACGATGGGCAGCAGGTTTTTGTCCCCCTAGACAAGTGCCAGTGCCCATGACTGGGCCTGAGGGAGCAGTGGCATGGCATTGTGGACCTGTTCTGTCCCTGTACCCTTAGGTCTACCCTGGACCTGGAGGTGGGGCCAGGCAGCAGGGGACACTGGTGGGGAAGTTCAAGGGGTGGCTGAGCCTCCATCTGCTGGTACCTTTCCTGGGGCTCCTGATAGCTCAGGACTGGCAGGAGGAATGGCCTTGGGTTGGGCTGATCTGCAGAGTGCCCCTTGCTCCATGTTGTATGTGTTTGTGTGTAAGTATATATTTATATGTGTGCTTGTGTTTGTGCATGTATGTATTTGTGTTTATATGTATGTCAATGTACTTGTATTTATGTGTGTTTGCATGTCGGTGTGTGTGTTTGTATTTGTGTGTGTGTTTGTGTATATGGGTGCATCTGTGTGTGTCTGTGTGTGTGTTGTACCCACACAGGTGCGTGCCTCCTCTCCCCCCACCCTGCAGGGAGCCGCTTCATCTTGCTGGAGGGGAGCCAGCTGGACGCCAGTGACTGGCTGAACCCGGCCCAAGTGGTCCTCTTCTCTCAGCAGAACTCCAGTGGGCCCTGGGCCATGGACCTCTGTGCCCGGCGGCTGCTGGACCCCTGTGAACACCAATGCGACCCCGAAACTGGTAGGCGGGAGCACCGGGCAGCGGGTAACTGTCAGAGACCACGCCTCTTGCAATCACCCCCTTGAGACCCAGGCCATCCCTCCCCATCGTTCCATCGTGATTGGGAGCCCAGACTCTGCTGGCTGCCCGAGTGGTTGGGCCTCTGAACATGTTGGGCTTAAAGTGCGGGGTCCTCTCCCGGCAGCACTGTGGGGAGCGCGCGAACTGTAGCCTCGTGCCGGACTAGTCCGTGCCGATGACCTCACAGCCACTCACCCTCCATTTGGGGAAGATGAGCTCCTGAGGCTAGCCTATTATGCATGCTTATTGCAGAAAACTTTGGAAAATCTAGAAGAGCTTCTGGAAAAAAATGATAAACATCAATAATTCTATCTCCTACAGAAATCATTTAAGAATATTCATGTCCCCCTCCCCATTTTCATCTATGCATGATCATGGTTTTTGTAGAAACTTCGGAGCACACTTAAGTCCAGTTGAGTTTTCCTGATTTTTTTTGCAGTTATTCTATCATGACAGTTTTCTGGAACATTAAATAGCCCTCAATAATATAATTTTAATAGCCATTTGGTACTCCGTTGTATGTGTATATCATAGCTCATTTAAAGAATTCTCTTATTCTTTGATGTTTAGGGTGCTTTACATTTTTAATTCATATAAATAATACTACATGAAGGCAGGGCACATTTGAAGTTATTTTCTCCCAGTGAATCTCAGACGAGGGGTTCCTGGGCCAAAGGATGTAGACATCTTTCAGACTGTTACGTTATCCAATGGGGGAGCTTTCCTGAGAGAGGGGCCAGATCCAGGCACGTCAGACACTGGGACTCAGTGCTTCCTGAGCCCCAAGGTATCCAGGAATTCGGATACCTGATTCCAGGTTGTCTTTCCCTTCATCGTACAAAGGGGGCGTCATACTCATCTCTATAAAGATCTGTTTCCAGTAGATTCAGCACCACAGGTAGAGTAGTAGGATGTTGTCTTAGGGCAAAGGATGGGGAAGCAGTGCTACCTGAGACCCTCAAGTGAGGTGTTGCTGGAATCATGGGCCTACCTCTCCAGCTTCCTGTGCTACACCCCCTCTTACACACACACACACGCACGCACGCACCCTGACAGGTGCATCTTTTTTAGGTGCTGGGGTGGAGAGATATTAGTAGAGGTCGCATCCAAGACATCCGTTTAGCCCTTACTTCTGTTATGGTCCATTGCTCTGACTCTTGGGGGTAAGCTACAGGCCACGGCAACATCTGAAGTTCCCCTTCTGAGATCTGCAAGTCTGCACGTGGGCCCATCACAAAGATCCCAGGCCCCATGTGGAGCAGAAAGTACAGCATTTTAAACATCTGATGTCTAAGGCTGTGCTTACTTGCCGCCCTTCCCACGCTGGCAGGCAGACGCCGAACCCAACAGATGGGCTGTGCACCAGGCCCCAAACCAGCCTGCTCCGGGGAAAGAGAGCTCATCACAGAGGGGAGGCCCCTCCCTGCCACTGAGCTGGGCTCTGGTCCCCCCCCCCGCTGACCTGAATAAGGAGACCCCGTGACAACCTCAGTGGTTAAACTCACCTCCGAGAAGAGCTTGGTTTCCAGAGGACTCTGGAAGCAGGAGCCGGGCTTTTTCAAGGACAGAAAGCACTTTTCATTACATGTGGAAAGAAGGCATTGGTGTTTTCGGCTTGGAGGGGTCTCAGGGATCAACTGCTCCTCTACTTTAGATCGATGCTTGAATTCCCCAGGAGGGTACTCGAGGTGCCCGGAATCCCACAGGGACCCTCGGCAGAGCCTGTGCTCTACCCGTCCTGAAATCAGAGCCGAGCTGGGCTTGTAAAGGGTTGCGCTCATTGCCCCAGACGTGTCCGACCCAACAAGCTTGTCATTTAAAACTGTAAGCGGCCACCATGACCGAGCATCACGGCTTCCGGAGCCAGCAGTTCAGGAAGCTGCCTGTCCACGGGAGGCCACCTGGATGTCTCATTTGCAGTCCCTGCTGACAGTGACTTTGGGAAGCCCCTCCCCTGCCGATGGCTTCCCAGAATCCATGACCGTTAAGGAATTTCCAAGTGGAAAGCCACGGAGGGAGACTAAATGGAAGACCCCCAACCCCACCACAGGACCGAGGCACCGCACCTTCAGGTGGAGGTCCCACCTGAGAGACGCTGGTGCCGAGACCTGAACGCTGGGACTGGACACGCTCCCCTTCCCGCCCGCTTGTCTCTGCACGTGGGGTGATGCGGTCATCCCTCGTGCTCATCGGTGAGAAACTTTCTCGCCTCCCACACTCGCTCCTAGAGCCTTTCTCCTGAGAGCCGAGTGTGGGAATTGGCTGCAAGTCAAGCCGACGTTATTTTTGCAATCCCCCAGCTAACTCGTTTGGAAACACCATGGTATTGGGACATGTGCTTTCCCAGCCGTGCCCAGGGGTCCGCCCATACATGTGTATGCAGCTGCGCAGGTGCCCGTGAATACTTTTTTTTTTTCACATGCACACAAATAAGCAAAAGGGCGCTCAGTCTCTGCGAAGGAGCAGAGGTCTTCAGGCCTCGGGTGCCTGAAGCTTTCCTTGGGCACACTTCCCCAGCAGCCCAGCGCGACGCCTGTGTGTGCTCATTACCTTTGCTGTGGTGCGGCACCCGGTGTGGCAGGCAGGATAATGGGCCCCCAGAGCTGTCCGCGTCCTCGTCCCCAGAACCAGTGAACCTGGTCTGTTCTGTGGAAAAGATGCATTAAAGTTGCAGGTGGAATTAAAGTTGCCGAACAAGTGGCTTTAAAATAACGAGAGGATCCTGGATTAACTAGGTGGGTCCAGTGTAACCACAGGGGTCCTTAAAACAGGAAGAGGGCGCAGAACAGGAGACCAGAGTGACGTGACGCGATCAGGACCCCCACCGGCCACTGCTGGCTTTGAAGGTGGTAGGTGCAGGGCTGGAACCAGGGAGTGTGCGTGCTCCTAGAACCCCTTGATTTCAGCCACGGGAGACCCCTGTCAGACTTCCGACCTGCAGAACTGCAGGGTAATAAATTCATGCTGTTTTAAAGTGCTAACTTTGTGGGAACATTTTATAGAAGCTACGGAAACCTAGTATACCAGGGAAGGAGAAGAGGGATAGGGGAAGAATGAGCATTGGTATGGTGCCCTTTGTATCGCTGCCCGATTTACAGAGGGTGGCTAAGTAGACTTTCCGAAGATGTTTCAGGAGTCTGGGAGAAGCCGAGTGGAGGTGGCTTGCCGATCTGGTTTCCACACCAGCCTCCCTCTTACATTTTAGCGACCCTGCTCTTTGGAAGGGGCGTAAGGCACCTTGAGTTCTCACCTCAGTGCCTACCAGCCCTTTGCCAAGTGCACATTGACATTCTTTCCAGATCCGCCCAGGTTTGGAGCTCTTGGTGTGTCTCTTAGCAAACAGCAAACCCCTAAGGTTGCAAGGCTTCATGCCCAGCTGGATCCAGCCAGAGGTTGCCTTTTCCTGTACTTTCCAAGGGTTTCTGTTGCGGTCCTGTGCTTGTTTGATCGTGATTTGGTGGCGACACAGACCAGCGGATTTCATTGACTTGTCTCTGCCCTCCGTTCCTGGCCTTTGCTCCGGCCGCCCGGGGCAGCTGTGGGGGCTCCCCACGCCCGCGTCACTTCCCGGTCCCGTCACTCCTGGCCGCAGACCTTCAGTCCCACTCAAGACCCGCGGGTGTGCGGGTCTGTGAGGAGCGCAGCTTCCAAGCTGAATCAGGTTTCCATCACCACCCACGAAGTTTGCTCCCCCCAATTTCTCTTGTCCCCGACCTTTCCGTGAGCCAGTCCCAGCCGTTGGAAATGTGTGAAATCTGGTGAGGGTTGTTGGACCAGTATTTTTTACTTCAGTCTGGCCCTCCTCCTCTTGGCATTCTCCAGACTAACACCTGTCTTTGTCTAGCTTTCTGTAGTTCAACCCAAATGGGCGAGGAGGCACAGCCTCAATTTTATCCATGTCACCCAGCGTGCTGCTCACTCCAAACTCCCTTTTGTGGCTGGATTAAAGCACCTTCTCTCTGGATGTGCATCGGGCGTATTGCCCTCTGTCCGGCCCCCCAGACTCGCGCAGGGGTGTTTGACTCCAGGCCTGGCTTCTGCCCGCTGTCTTCACAGGGAAAGGGACCAAGCAATTCAGTATTGCCCACGTCCAGGTGTCTTGTGAAAATTTCCCTTTCTAGCTGAAACACACCCGATTCTATTTAATGAGAGCCGCCAGCTACCTGAAGGCTAGTGCTGACTCAGACAGTTCAGCCTTGATCTGCATTTACATCATGGAGGACCCGTGGTAAGCTGGGTCATAGCCGAGGGTCCCTAGCGTCAAAGCCTTTCTCTAACCCTTCCGTGGGGTTTGTTCCTCAGCCCTTCAGCTATGAGTGGGACGTGACCGAAGGCTCTGTCCGTCACAGAGGGTCCCTCAAGGTGCCTTCCTTCAGGGTCCCAAGCACAGATTGGGTAGCCATGCCCAGGCGATGCGTGACTCCCCTCTTGGTGGGCTTCTGCTCTCCGGCAGCGAGGTCGCCCCTGAGTGCCTCCGTCCTGGTCGGGCCCTCTTCCGTGGCCGTGCCACGCCTTCCTGTTGGATCCTATGAAGACTTCCACACAGGCAGCACGTCATGTGTTCCCCGCCATCTGTCACAGCAGGTGCAAAGACTCTAACACTTCTAGCTTAGGGGGGCATCCAGTACCCTCATGGGGTCTTTAAAATTCACAGCTACCAGAGCTTGTGCTTGCACGAAACCCCTCTCCAAATCAAGATTTTGCCGGGGGTTGCCATAGCAACAGTGTTCCTCATCCAGCCCAATCTCTCCTCCACCGGTGAGATGGCCAAACTGGTTCCGAGGAGGAACACAGGAGCAGAAGGTTTGGTGGGTTCCGGAAATGAGGATCATCTGACAGGCAGATTTTCGGATGTCCTCAAACTCTCGCTGATGTGTTTGAAAACCTCTCTGTCGCTCTCACTTTGAGCTGCTCGTGACATGCTGTGGGGAATAGCTTTTTCTCCTGTCAGCAGCGTGTCCCCACTCGGTGACAAAGGAAGGAAACCTCATAAGGAGATAATGGCTGGGAAGGCAATTTGAGAAAGGCGAATGTGTCTACAGTCGGTAGGTGTTGGCCGCTTTAGGAAAATCAGATTCTGCTTGATCTCTGGGTAGTTGTTGTACTTTCTTTTACATGTTTCCTGGCAGCTAGATCTCAAACGTGGAAGAAGGACTCCCGTTTTCTTCAATCTCTAATTCCAGGCAGGGCATCCCACCAAGGCCATTGTAAGAGAGCAGAGTAATGGGGTCGACAACCTCTTGAGGTTCATTCCTGTTAATAACATCTCATGTCCATTGTCTCCGTGGACATATAGGAAATGATGTCCTTCTGGGGGAAGCATAGCGGGTCCTTGACCCATGAATTGGCTTAGAGATCCACATCTTAGGGTGAGGTGTGGGTAGTCTTATCTGTAAGTTCAGGGCAAACTAGTTAATGTGGTTATTTTCCATTACACAGTATTTATCAAAGATCTACTCATATGGGGTTGGAAAGCTAACCTTGCTCTTGCCCTTGTATAGCTTATGGTCTCCAGTTTGTGCTTTCTTTGGAGTCAATAGAAGCAGTCTTCGTGGGAAAGCCTTATCTTCAACTAATGTCAAGCTGTGTTGCCCTGTGTCCGACTCACAGCTGCCCAAACATTCCTTGGTCCAGTGCTGCTGATGCCAGTTAATTAGAGCCTCTGATGATCTAGACCATGTGGAAGCCTGAATTTGCCGTAGAGGGGACACCTTTACCCCCTGTGGGTCCCCTACAAACTAAGAAGTTGCTCATTTTCACCCCAGCCTTGAGCACCTTGGGCAGGTGTGGGGGGAGGAAATATATGTCACCTGGTAGTGAGGCCTGATGGCCAGCGGCTTATAGGTCAGTCTTGGAGTAGACAGTTGAGCTAAGATCCTGTAAGCAGCCTGCTCAGAGCCACTCAGCCTCTGTCCTCAACACTTGTATTGCCTTTTGTCTTTGGGAAGAGAAAATAGCACTCAAAGCTATTATTCTATTTATATCCTTGTTAAGTGTCTCTTGCTAGAGAGATAAAGAAACTGTGTGTCCCTTGTTTCCTTAGAGCCTGCTGGCACCTTTGTTACTTACAAGTTTCAGGAAGTCCCACCCAACTGATGAAACAAACAGCCCCTAGAAGCATTAATGGGGCGATTTAATGGGACTGGCCTCAGAGGAAGCAGGAAGCAGCAACAACTTCCTGCAAGATCAGGACTAAGTAGAGCAATGATTCATAATCTTGTGGGGCCCTTGGATTTACTCGTGAATCCGGTGAATGCCGTGCAAATCTTCCACGGGAAGACGCACAGACACGGTGTTGTGTACAGTGTCAGAGGGGTCGTGGACATCCTGGTGTACCAAAGAAACAACTGATGGTAACGAAGCACAGTAATGTCCCAAAGGAATGTAGAATTGTGGGTAACCCTTCTGTTTACCAGCCAAGAGGATTAGCTGGTTTACTAATCCCCAGTTCCTATAAAAACATAGTTGATGTAAGTGGCCTCCTCTGGAGCACTTGTTCTGCGGGCACTGCACGGAGTGATGGGGAAAAAAGGTCTGGAGTCAGACAGACACAGATTGAAGTATTAACCCCGCCATTTACAAGCAGTCTCAAGACCCCTTCATTTTCCGAGCCTCCGTTTTCCCCATCTGCACAGCAGAACCAATAGTAGCTACTTTTTTCAAGATCCTCAGAAATTTGGATGACATAATGCCTTTAGGCTGTCTTTAAACATTTTCTTCCTCATCTAGTACATGCCTCACAGTACACTGGGCACCGAGGAAGTCCAGGTGGGCAAAGCCCCCTGCTCCAGAGTTCTTGCCTTTGTGTTTACAGAGAACACACAGGAGGTGCCTTGTCAATGGTGGATTCCCATAGTGGTGAATGTTATTACCGCGTAATGGGACATGGAGGGATGGGTGGCGTTCACCCCTGTGGGCAGTGGAGACAGGAATGGGGTCTCCTCCGTGATGCTGCTGGGGCCTCAGTTTGATTGTTGCCCCTTCCTTTGCCCCAGCTCACACATGTTAATCAATTGCTCTGTGTTTCTCTTCCCCCCTCCTTGCCCTGCCCCTAAGGGGAGTGCCTCTGCTACGAAGGGTACATGAAGGACCCAGTACACAAGCACCTTTGCATCCGGAATGAATGGGGGACAAACCAGGGGTAAGTAGGAGATGGCAAGTCCATCTGCAGCACGTCGTCTCTGCAGCACGTGGGCCCGGCATTCAGCCACCTTGTGTCGGGAAGCAGAGCTAAAGGCTGCCTGTGGTCTGAGCAGCAAATGTGTAGAAATGTCAGGGTGCCTTTCCTGAGTTATACCATCCCAGTGACGTCCCTATGAGCGTTTGCTCCATTGATGAGTCCAGAGAGGACACGTCTGCGTCACAGCCCTGCAGCTGGGATCTGAATGCCAAGCTGTCCCTCTTTTCCTTGTCACACTGTGGCCAGCCACGAGGATTCTGCTGGCCGAACATGGCTGCTGGTTTTGTTGGAGGCTCTCAGAGCCACACAGGGTCCTGTGCAGCTCTGTCGGGGCTCGGCGAGCTTTGCAAGGCTGATGTGGGTGGGTTTACGTGTTTACACCGGGACTGTCCGCAGGGGTGAAATGCAGACTCAGGGCATGCTCGGCGTTGACGAAGAGTATTTTTGCCTGATTCCCAGTAACCAATTCTCTGTGAGACCTTTGCTCTTCTCCTAGCATGCTTGATCAGGACGAAAAAGTCACCTTGTCTGTTGCTTTTACATTTTTTTTGTTTGGTGAGTTTTTATTGGGATAAAATGCACCTAATATCAATTTCACCATTTTAACCATATTTAAGTATACAGTTCAATGGCATTATGTGCATTGACGTTGCAGTATGATCACCAATGCTCTTGCTTTTTACAAGTCTAGCTACTCTTGCTTTTTACAAGCAACTTCCTGCTTTGTTTGGGTTGCTGAGAGTTCGCTTTCTGCATTGGCTGGGCTGTGGAAGGGAGCAGAAGGAGAAAGGGATCAATGAACACTAACTAATAACAGCAATCAATGGAGCAGGGGGAACTAGAAAGAAATCAAGGCAAACGCCACTTCGGAGTGATTGCTCAGAGTGCAGATCAGAACTGTGTTTGCAGCCCAACAAGAGGCAAGAAGGAAGCCATTGTCATGTCCCACATTGCCCACGGGGGACTCGGCCCCCTCTGTCTGATTCTGATGAGACTGAGCCTAGAATATTGAATGTAGTTCTGGGCTCTCCGAGCAATAAATATGGAGACAAATGGGTGAGAGTTTGGAGAAGAGCAATAAAAATGATTGAAGAGCTCAAGGGAGTGATTTATGACGAAGGGCTGGAACTCAACTCGGAGAACTTGGCCAGCTGATGACTAAGTCAGAGCGTGATGAATGCCCGCAGACGTTAGAAGAGGGCAAATGTTCTGGAACGGGTTGAGGTTGAGGGAGAAGGACAGGGGAGAATGAAGGTAGAGAAAGGAAATCTGAGTCACGGGTCAGAAAACTTGGGGAAGTCAGAGCGCCATGAAATTTCTCTGCTCGTGAAAATGATGGATGGCAGCATTTCCACGGCATCTGAGATCGAATCAGAGAGGCAGCCCACCACCCTGAGAGGAAGATGTTTGCAGGAGGGTAGGTGCATATGCAGCAGAATGTTCTGGGGAGATTGGCGGGAAGGGCAGAGGACCCGGCTAGCAGATGTCGATCAGAGCCTGAATAAAGAGGGTCTCTTCCTCTCTGACCCCTGGAATGTTTGCATAGTTTCTGGGGAGGCAGGAGTTTTGCTTATGCGATGGCTGAGAATCTCAGTTGGCTATGATTCTTATTGAGTAAAATATTGTAAAGGATGATGGATAACCAGCTCTCTCTCAGCCTACAAACTTACTGCTGGAGAAAATACCATTTCACTTCTTGCCCTGACTGGTCCAGGCTGGCTGTCCACCGTGACTGAATTTGGGGGCCAAAGACTCAAGCCCCCACAGCCCTTGCCTTGTAGATGGGTCGTGTGAGGATGGGTCTGACCTCACTCAGTCACTGCAAAAGGCCAGTCCATCTGGCTGTGGGGAAGGGACAGTCTTAGGATGTAGACAAGAGCCTCCAGGGGAACGAATGGTGGAGTCCCTGCGTGGGTGTCATTTCAAATAAGGAGCAAGGACTGAGTTACCGACTGACGAGAACATTAGCCCCAGGAAACAGACAAGGAGACCTAATATGTCATTTCCATCTCTAATTCCCATTATTCGCTGATCATCACTGTCTACGAGGTCTCATTTTGGACACTAATAAAATAATGGAGCAACTGTTCCGAGGGGGGGGAAAGTGAGTGTCTTGAGGTTAATGGAACCAAGAGTGATAAGCAGCATCGTTTGTATGTACATAGGAAAGGGGCAGACAGACGATGGCATTTTCCTCATAGAGCGATAAGACGGATGAAACGTGGAAGATGTCATACATCTTTATTTAAATCAGGGACCCGATGCCAGGCTCCCTTGAATGGTTCTTACAAAATTAATCTGAATTGATTTGAACGTGAAGACTGTCACCTGAATTGATAACTGCGTGACAGATTGCCAACTCATGATTACGTATTGGGATATTATGGAAAAATCAGTGGCAGTCCTCATTTTCCTGCCTATCTCACTGAATGTTCCAGAAGGCGCAGGTAGGCAGCATGTGTATTTACGTGTATTTATCACTGGGTATTCTCGTATTGCGTGCGTTAGGATAGCCCAGCATTCTTTTGACGCAGAGCGGGCAAATCCTAGGCCAGGAGTAGTGACAATGGGTTCTTTTGTGCCAAATTGAAGTTAATGGTCTGGGAGGACCATACCAAGAGGCATTCTTGACTTTCAGACAAGGAAGAAAATTGATCAAGGACACCAATACAAAAAAGTACAAATGGGCGATTCTGTGAGGCAGGCGGGTTACACCTGTACCCAGCCTCTGCCTCACACTCCAGTTTACCCAGACCTGTGGGGGTTGGGGGATATATGTGTGTGTGTGTGCATGTGTGTGTGTGTGTGTGTGTGTGCACATACTGGTTTGCTTCCAGAAATCCCCCCACTGGTACATGCCATTTACTCTCTCGTTCCTGTTTTCAACACAACACATACTCCCTCCATGACCTGTTGTGGCCGGGGGTCAGCTAGGTTTCTGATTATAAGAAGAACAGTGTGGTGTCTGCTCTGGAAGAACTAATATCTAGCTACATCAGTGGGCACAGGACAAGACACTGCAGTAAATTCTAAAAACTAGTGCCGTCGTGAGCGAAGGCGTGTGGGCTCACAGTTTAAGGGCTGACTTATGCGTCACCCAAGAATCTGGAGTAGGCCTTCGTGGAGAAGTCAGATCTTGAACTCGCCTATTTCACAGGTGATAAAGGTACTGCTAAGCAGAGGGAACTCAGCCATGTCAGGGCGTGGAAGCAGGAGGGGCATGGTGTCCCCAGGGATGGCGTATACATAGGTCAGTGTTAACTTACAAGTGCAGCCGACAGAGGCTGAGAAGGCAGAGCAGGACGGGATCTCAACTAGTCTTGCTCTTGGACATTCACGTTCCACGTATTTTCCTGCAGAGTGGTCAGCAGGAGGGACAGGTTTCAAGGGGTCTGTGTATTTGGTGGGACAGTCCCTTACAACACATCATATTTCTGAACCCTTCACAATAATGTGAAATAATCCTAAAAAGAAAAAAAAACACCACACACACACACAAAACCTCCGGAGACCGTCTCAACTTCTGTTGATCTGGATTCTGTAAGTAAAGCATAGTCCTAAAATTATCCTGTAGATAAAAGTTTTCAAGGCCAAATAGCAAAGTGCGACCGAGAACTGGGGACCGTACATACAGGGCGTGTGAATCAAGGGGTTTGCAAACTTTTTTTTTTGCTGACTCTGGTTCTTCCAAAAATGGCCAAGGAGGAGTGAGGCCACGTGAGAGACATTTGTGTTTGGATCTGGGTGGGGAAGCCGGTCACTGGGGCTCCCCCAGGTGACAGGATCCAGGTGGCAGATTGTAAAGTCACTGAACTCTTTACACAGGAAGCCTCTATTCACCAAAAGGAAAAATGGTTAAAAAAAAGATTTCACAAAGTCATGGCTGACAGATTTCTAATGAGAGTACAGGATGTGTGAGGTTACATGCTTGGTTGGGAGATTGGCAACAAAATTACTCCCTGCCACAGCGGCCGGCGACTCTGTTCCCAAATGCGACGCGACTCCGGGTGGGGTTGGAAGGGTCCCACCCCAGCAGTGGGCCTTGCCATGTTTCTGTCCGACCCCTGTGAGTCCTCCCATTGCCGCCCTCCCTAGACACAGCCGGGCTCTGTTGGGGTCGGTTTGATATGTGTTTGCTAGCGCAAGAAGGACTAATTGAAAACTTTCACAGATGAGAAATGAAAACAATAAACGAGAGTGGAGGAGGCAAGAGATTGATTTACATGAAAATATCAGAGGAGGAAAAAACAAATTTATTTAGCTACTTTGGAGAATATTAAGGCAGGCTGTGAAAGTGGTTTTTTTGTTAAACGAGAAGTGTACCCAAGGGCCCCCCAGCTACGTTTTCCAGAATACCAATATTAGATTAAACTCCTGCATGTGAAAATTCCCAGTAAATAATGGTCTGATTTCTTATTCTGACTCCTCAGATACAGAGGGCAACTCCAAGGAGATTCCCCACCAGAGGTCTATTTCATATCACTCGGTTTCAGTGCTGGGGATGGTGATAGAGTGTTCGTTCATGAGACGGGGCGGGACCCACTGTGAGAAAGGAACAGGTATTTCTCCAAGGGGTTAGAAGCTGTTGTCAGGGGTGGCCCTCCCTGCTCATGAGGATGGCTCCTCCTTATACCACCTGCTGTGGAGGCCACACAGTTACCGTGATGTCTCCAGATTAGTGCACACGCACGTGCATGCACGCACACACATACACTCGTACACTGCCCGCACTGCCTTGATACTGTCCTTTCCATTGTCCCAGCTGCTTGTCTTTCTGTGCTGCTTCTGCAGTTCCTCCCCACTGCTCACCACCCCCCAAGGAGTGACTGCTTAGGGAATCTGACTCTGGATAAGGAGCAAACGCCCCACACCGTAGAATTCGGTTTCCTCATCTGCTCAAGGCTGAAGAAGGTGTCATGGTCGGCCTCAGTCTCTCTGCCCTGCTTAACATGCCTGCTTGA